ATATATATATATATATATATATATATATATATATACATATATGTATATGTATATATAATAACACGGAGTGCTAGTCAGGAAACGCACATTCTCGTGTGAACGTGATAACGTTCACTGTAACTTAAACAAAACCTTTCTATGTGTGAAGAATTGACTCAAACGTGCCCTTCACCTGCAGTGGTTGTGATAACGACTTTACAATTGCTGAGTTTAAACCCTTGTGTTTGTGTTTTTTTTCAGTTTCCTTCTGTCCTCGCCGGGTTGGTTGCAGCCTTGTCAGTGCTGTTATGCTTTCATGGAGCCATAGCCGAGTGGGTGGACTTGAGCTATACCTTTGACAACACTACCCACTTCTGGACGACCACCAAGTTCTTCAACTTGACCGAAGAATTTAAAGGACTGACCGGTGACGGCTACTGGTACGTGTTGGTCGATCAGCCACATCTGCGAACCGTGCCGAAGCTGGCATATTTTTAGCAACAACGTTCTTAAATGTACGCGCATTATCTTCAACAGCAAAAAAATGTCGTTGATTTTGCTACCATTACTCTGACAATACCGGGGTGTTTCAGAGACCAAAACGGTTACTCTGTCACAGTTCGCAGGAAACGGCAGAGTGGGCTGGACAGCGGAGACAGGACAAAGCGTACAAAGAACGCACAGTGCTAGTCGGAAAACTTGATACTCAAACGTTTAGCTATATAACGGACTGTTCTGCTGCACTTTCCCGTGTGAGCGTGACGACATTCCATGTAACTCATTGACAGAGGCAGGGCATGTTCTTACTTGACAACTGGAGAGGAAAATAATCCCTACCAAGGGACTGCCCGCCCCCCCCCCCTTGTGTCAAACCGAGCAACCCCCACCTCAGCGAAAATCTTGCTTTGCCGGCAGCGTGGGTCTTACAAAGTCTTTGAAACGCTTCAGGCAGAAAGTCGCGGTGAATGCATGTATTCTGTATGGGGCAAAACATTTAAGATGAAGTAGATGCGAACGGAGAAGAGAAGAAAACCTAAAACTGCGCGAGAAGCCGCTTATGAAACGTTGGACAAGGGTGGGTCAGAGAGTTCAGACAGGACAGGTTAGACAGGACGGACGTGTCTAAAAGTTTGCCAGCGTATCAGTTCCCGGTCAAAAAGTAGGACAGAAAAGGCTGGATGGAAAAATTTCGAACGACAAAAAGGGCGAGGTAGTGATAGAAGCTGAAGCGAAAAATACTTAAAGAACAAGTAAAAAACTAAGAGTCGGCAAGGAAAAAGTTGAAACGGAAAACTCGAAAGACAAAATTTCAAAAGGGGCAAAAGTCGTCAGTGGATAAAAGTCGGAGCACAAAACGTTGAAGAGATAATTGTCTACAGGATAAAGAGTAAGTATGATGTCGCGTGATAAGCTGTCATATAACATAGAAAGCACACTTTCCGCGGCGTTTTAGAAAGCATTGTGCCAAAGATGTAAGATGCACTGTCAAATTATCTTTTTATAGTGCAACGTATCGTGGTTTGTACAAAGTGTCGAACATGGCATCTTCCATTTATTGCGGCAATTTCGATGGCGTTAAAGCGAGTTTTCTACATTTGAAGATATTAAAGCAGGCATCCGATATGATAAAATTGGACCACTTTTAAGTACAAGAATGCTTTCAAGTGTAACAGATAACCCTAGAAAGCAAAATCTCTCTACAGTTAACATGATCCTTAATACGCCATCTTTATTGCGTCATGAAACGGTATGACGTGGAGGTGCTGCCAAACTAGCCGCACGAAATTGCTACCCTAGCACTTACATGTCGTACTTCAGTCTCCCTGAAAGATGGCCGTAGCGATGCTGGGAGTATTTGCTAAACCATATTGATAGGTGCTCGTGTTTTGACCATTTTGTGGTGTTTTTGCATGCTGATCCGTGAGGTTAAGGTGTTTACTTGCATTCACATCCTCGGTTATGGCGCTATTCTTAAGTTATTCGATCGTTAGCTTTTCTGTAATAAAATGCACCCAAGTCCAACTCATCGTACTGTGCACCACAAAACGTGATTCGTGATTGAAACTTTCACAGCCTGATTATTATTGATTGCGATCCAGTTTAAGTCCACAATATCTTGGAAATCTCTCTCACGATATGAACTGAAACAAAATGCCTTTGAACGCTAGATATGAACGGCGCGGCGATTATGTTCTTCTTGGCCTGGAAGCCGCCGGGCCAATGACGTGACAGGATTCGAATGACGATTCTATGGCGTCAGGGATGCCTGACTGACCCTGAAATAGTCTGCAGGAAATAGTCTTTGCACCACGCATTTGTGGTTTAAAGCCAAAAAGCAGTTTCCATCGATCACATAAGTATATCTAGGAATTTATTTCCGAGTCGGACCTGTCGCAATCACCCTGCTTCAAAGAACCTTAGAAGGCGTATTATCGTCGGCCTCTTCAGATGTTTCAACTTGAAATGGGGTACCAATAGGATAGCTCTTACGGATAGAAAACTATTTCATACGTCAGCACGTCCAACTAAAAATAAAAATAAAAAACATACACACACGCGGTTGTTCGTGCATTCACACCTGTGCATGAAGTTTACTTATCATTTTAAAATATCCCGCCAAAATTTCCAACCAAAAGTACTGGCAGTGCGCGAAATAAGTTCCAAGCTGGGATAACCTGCCACCCTAAAATTTGAAATTTACGATGTTGGTAGGCTGCCTTCAAAGTGGTAAGACGAAATGATGAATCACCTGTGCATTTTTGGAAGATGATGAATATCGGCACAATGCGTCTTCCTATATTTACATATCCACTTATTTTCTCAGTTCCATCTGACGTCGCGTGACGCATACGAAGTGCTAATGAGCGTCAATGAACAAATAAAAAGTACTGTGTGTCCAAATAAAGTGGGTTTAATCCCTTGAGTACAAGACATTTCTGGAGAGATGGGTTGCTGGGGCATCCATCGGCTAGACCCCCCCCCCCCGTCCTACTCATTTTCAAAAATAAACAGCCGGGGTCTAAATTTAGTTCTAACCAAGATTATTTGGTTTCAACCATAACACAGAGAAGGGCGATATGCGCAACTGTCGTAATCACAGCAAGGTCTGTGGGATGGCAAAATTTTGTTTAATGCTGCCCGAAATTCGATTGGCCCGAATCACCTCCGTGCGTTTAGAATAGGCTGTGCAGAGAGGTTTACTCTTGGTTGGGGCCAGCGTTGTGTTCGACTCATTTTTTCCGACGCAGGACTAATTCACAGTTTTTGGGATCCGATCCAGCTCATGACTTCCAGCCGCTCCTCTTTTGTATTCAGTTTCCATTCACGCTCACCGCTTGTATCGAATCATTTGGCTCATGCTTCACGCGGCTTACGAAATCAAAGAAATCAAAGATTGGATTCATTTCCAGCTCGTTGCTTTATGACAGGGATATGCATATATGTGTACATATATATATATATATATATATATATATATATATATATATATATATATATATATATATATATATATATATATGTGTGTGTGTGTGTGTGTGTGTGTGTGTGTGTGTGGGTGTGGGTGTGGGTGTGGGTGTGGGTGTATGTCCCTCTGCCATCTTAAAGATATAACATATTATACCTGCTGGTCATATTAAGGATATGACCAGCAGTTGCAATTTGTAAGAAGCAGGCAATCTTTCACTGTTTTTTCTTGGGATATAGGAATGCAGGATGTCTGCAAAGTGTAATATCTGGTTCCTGTTTGATATAAGACAAACTTTAGACCATGATCAACAATATGGTGCTTGCTGCGTTAAATTTTCAACGCATTTGTGCTTATTTTCAAAAAAAAAACTTTTAAACTGATGCTGCTTGCTTTTCATTTTAGCACTCTGAAATTGTCTGTCAGTTTGTCTGGGGCGTGCTGTGTTTCCTCATGCTACCATTTTAAGAAGAGTCATATGGCTCGCTGACATGGTATTGTTAGAAATAACATTGTTGGAAATGGCATATTGGAAATGATGTTGTTAAATATAGCATTGCTAAAAATGATGTTTTAGCAATGACATTGTTAGAAGTGATCGACTGACAATTCAGCTCATGGAATTTACGATGCATGTAGTTAAGCTCATGGCTCAAAGCGGTCTTTTTCCTAACAAGACAAATCAAGTCGCTGCTCATCCCAAAACAATTGGCTCGTGAGGCAATTCTCGCCAAAGCGATTTCGAGCCAAAATGATTGGCTCGTGAGCTTGTGACGATGTGACGATGTTACGATGTTGAGCTCATGTCTGTTTGGGGCACATGATCTTACAGGACCTGTCATTTTTCAGGTCTGTCTTTTCCTCTCAAAGTCAAACAACCAGCCCTCTCAAAGTCAAACAACCAGAGCGTGCAGATGATACGGAGCCTGCCCTCTGGGCTGAATATGCTCAAAATAAGCGCGCATCATGTGGGAAGAGTCCTTTTTAACAACCGGCAACTCCCTTGAGGAAATGTCGGGAAAGTCTGGGTTGCCAAACCAATCCGGAGCGTGCTTTGGGTTTCTCAAGTTTTCCCTGACTGAGCCACTGCCACCGACCACTTCTTAAGGAAACTTGAGAATTCCACCAGCCTCGCCGACGATCAGGCTTTTCATTTGCTTCGGGGGGAGTTATTTTTAGTGTATAATCGCTGCAGAAAGTTCGGAAATGCTAGGGTTTGCCTGCCCGCCGTTTGGGAAAAGTTTGGCAAATCCAGATGGGAATCGCACATATTGTGGTGCGTAATCGCCACAGGCGGCCTAGAAAACGCTCCGAGCACTCGCTTGGGAAAATTTTAGGAAACGACCAAGAACAGGTTGGGAATCGCAACCAGTGTCTCACCTTCGGGCTGATTCCAAACATTTCTCATCCACAAACCTGGGAAACGGTCGGAGTAGCCCGGTTGAGACTGAACCGAAATTGCTGACCGGGTCCGCGTGCTTCACCAATGAACGTGTCCTATGTTTCGTCTGCTACAGGTACGAGTCGAATGACTTCAGTGGAAACGAGCATGGTGGAACCCACATGGATGCTCCCTGCCATTTCCACAAGGGAGGCTGGACGATGGACGAGATTCCAATTCGAGCGTCTTATAGCTGATGGTGGGTTTTTAAGATCGCTTACGATGGTAGTGGTGTAGTGGCCTCTGCTTGTACGCCACATATATTATGTAACCCGTGTGTTTCATTGTTCATATTTCTCTTTTGTGCGCATTTAAGTACACAATTGCTTATCAATCACTTTCGCTAGCTGGCGTCGTGACACAAATTGGCACGCTGTCCCCCTGTCTGAAGAGTGACGCGGGCTAGCTAGTTGGCATCGTTAGGTGGCAGGAAGCAGTGACACCGGCTGAAGTGGCACCCACTCCCCTTGGCTGGCGTCACACTATTAGGTTGACGGACGCGAAGCGGATGTCACAGTGTGACCCCAGCTCATGTGAAGCAAACTCCCTTCAGCTGGTAACGCAGTGTGACATCAGCTCGGGCGTCACACGGTGTGACACCAGCTGCAATGACAGCCTCGCCCCTAGCCGTCACTGCAGTGATATTTCCCCCGCTGCCGGCGTCGCAGTGTAACGCCAGCCGCGGCGCCACTCGGCGACGCACTTGTCGTCACACTGTGACGCCAGCTGTGACACCGCGTCACAGCTGGAGTCGTGATGTAACGTTAACTACAACACCACACTGCAACGTAAGCTGGCATGAGCAGTGACGCCTGCTACAGGACACCCCTTGGTGGTGTACTACGTACTACCCAGACTGGCTTCACACCGTGACGGCAGCTTTGGGAGTGGGTGTCACTACGGTGTGTTGGTGTCGCTGCTACTGGCGCACTACCAGCTGGCGTGCCCCGCCAGCTGGGGGCAATGTGCCAGCTGGTGCCACGACGCCAACTACGGAGAGTGCCGCTACAATTTCACGCAGGTGACCAGACGGCTCCAGTGAAAGTGTGACACCACTCAGCTGTCTAGGGGGAGTCACAGTGTGACGCAAGCTGACAGAAGCAGTCACGCCAGCGGCAGCGACACGGACACACCCTAGTGACACCCACTCCCCCAGCTGCCGTCACAGCGTGACGCCAGTTTGGCTGGCCGCAAGGCTGCGAACATCCACTACCTCCAGCTGGTGACGCATGATTGTGTCAGACGTAGTGATACCCTTTTCCTCCAGCTGTTATTGCAGTGACACTCCTTCTACAGCTGTTGTCGCAACGTGACGCTAGCTACAGTGACACCTACTCGCCTGAGATGGCGTCACACTATGACGCCAGCGAGAATGGCAGTGTGCCAGCTTAAGTCACGACGCTGCCTAGGGGAGCGTCACTGCAGCTTCACTTGGGCCACTAGACGGCTCCAGTGACAACGTGAGGTCCGTTTGGGGGAGTTACAGGGTTACGCCAGCTAGCAGGAGCCGTGAAGTCAGCTGCATTGAGATCCAATCTGGTCCCCCGGTTTCAATGACTCCCACTCCCAGCTGCAGTGACAGCCATTCTTTCCAGCTGGCTTCGCATTGCGATGATAGCTCGTAGGATTTCAGCTGCCAGAAGCCGTGCAGTGGCACCCACTCCCAGCTTCAATGACAGCCAACCCTCATAGCTGTCACTGCAGTTACGCTACCTGCTCAGCTGGTGTCGCAGTGCGAAGCCAGCTCCAGTATTACCCTTTCCCTTAGCTGTTGGTGCGTCAAGGTTGTACGATGACGTGTTTGCAATTATGTAGTCACACAATCACATGTGTAATCACATTATGACGAACTGACGTCACCGTGTTACCTGATGTCACATTGTGACGCTAGCTTTACTATGCCGCCTGTTTACGCTGAGTTTGGTGCCAACTTCAGTGGCAATGGCACCCCTAGTGCCGCAATGTGACGCCAGTTAGGGTAAGCGGACGTCACTGCAGCAGTGCGCTCACCCTGCGAGGCTAGCCTGCGTAAGCAGGTGTCACTGAAGTGGTCTGGTCATCCGAGTTGGACGTCACAGTGGGGGCGCCAGATAGGAGGATACGTGCCACTGCAGCTTGCGTCACTGCTACTGTCAGGTTCGCCGCACTGTGGCTGTCCTAGCTGGCGTCATACTGTCATGCCAGCTGTGGTGGGTGAGTGTCACTATAGCGCTCTGGTCACACTGCGAGGTCAGCTGGAGCAAGTAGATGGGTATTACTGGAGCCGTCCCCAATCATGTGTAACCACAGTGTGCACTTCTTGGATGGCCGCAGCCAACGAAATCCGCCGCCATGCTATTACCTTCGTTTATGTTTCACTTTCGGGTGACGATCTTTAAAGATAATAAGGCAATTTTGCCGCTACAAACAGCGATTACAAAGGCAAAAGTCATGTCATTAGTGTTCATAGGAAGACTGCACAACAGCTCATCAGTGAGCTAGTGTTTTGTCCTACACCCCCACCCGCGTTCTCCCATTGGCGAGGCCACCTTGCTCCAGCGCGCCTACTGGCATCATCACTTGCCTTCATTAAGGGACTCGTCGGCGCTGTGCTGTACTGTAATTGGACCGCGGTAGTTGGACCGCCCGCCCGACCGTCGCGCCAGCCGGTCCAACTCTGCTCTTCCGGGGCCGCTCCCGCCGGCGCGAGTCGGCCAGCACGGAGCCAAAGGGACCTGGATCGGCCTCCCCCTGTGTCGGTGGCTCTGGTGAACGTGCCACAGCGAAGCGGAACACACCATACGTCTCCCTCTTTAGCGGCTCTTGTGGACATATCTGAGCGGAGCAGCCGGGACGGGGACGCCACGCTGACCCCGGCTGACCTGGCCGAGTGGCGGGCCGTCCACGGTCGCTGGGTGTACCCGACCATCCTGCTGGTCCGCACCGGGTACGCCGCGTACTGGTCCAACAGAACGCGCTACTTCGGCATCAGCCCAAAAGAACCGGACGTCCGCCATTTTCCAGGTCAGGTCGCCGAGCTCGATGGCACTGGCTCGATCTGTTCGGCTACACGAAATATGTGTTCAGCTTCTCAGCATGTTTACGTCGCGAAGTGAACACTGTGATGATGGCGACACACTGGAAGTTTGTATTTTTGTGAAAAGTTGGAGGTGAAAATCCCCCTCGCCGGCTCCGCTTTAAGAAGGTGGTTAGGATTGTAATTCTCTTCCACTGCGCGGATCCGGCTCCTATCTTGAAAAGAACGGTGGCCCAAATCTGATAAGAAACTTGGTTTTGGTGTATTGAGGGGCATGTTTGTTTAAAGCACATCTCACGTGTGTCTGATAGTCAATTAATGCAAAAGCCTGTTACGTCCAGCGGAAGATATTTCGCCAGCCACCTGTGTCATGATTATGTATGGGACGTCAAGATCTTTACCAGTGTTTTGCCAACAAGGCGCCAACCATTTTCACCACTTGGAAGTCAGCAGCGAGTCGATGCCAACGCAGAAAGCTGCGTTAAGCGAAAGCTTCATCCCAGCACCACTCGAGCACATGAGTCACGAAACTAAATATGCACAGTAAACCTGGTGACAGCGGCCTGTCAGACGGCGACGGTGGCGTTGACCCGTTTGGCGTTGTTGTCGGGTCGGCAGGGCTGAGCGCGGAGGCGGCCCGGGAGCTGGCCGCCGACTCCGCCGTGGTGGGGGTCGGCATTGACACGCCATCCGTCGATCCCGGCATCAGCCACGACTTCCTCGCTCATCAGATCCTCTTCAGCAAAAACATATACGCGCTGGAGAACTTGGCCGACCTGAGCCGGGTGCCAGCCTCGGGAATCCGGTGAGCCTCGCATATGCTGTATTCCCGTAATCCATCCGTGCATGGTTCCAATGTTCGGTTGGCAACATATTTTTCCTGCAAGCGTAACTTAGCTGAAGATTATCAAAGCAGACGTTAATGGGCTGATACTCCTTAATTATCTAAGGCGTTGAGTGTGTTTGCGAGGAGCATATACATGAGATAAGATAATACTGTTAGCTTTGTTTCTCTTAGAATTACTGGGAGAGATATCTACACACCTTGAAAATACATATCTCTCCTTTTTCCTGATTATTCGAGGAATACAGTCAGCAGTGCTGTCTTAGCTAATGTATCTTAGTTAAATTAAGTGACTGTCTCCCGGTTCTAGGAGTGCGGCCTCGAAAGTACCGAACTAAACCCATAGTCAACCTTCGAAGTAGCGCTCGGTAAAGAAGTGTGACGAATTAATGCATAAACATATTTGTAGGGCTTACTTTGGCCATGCTTCTCTTGGTAGCTTGCTGGGCAAGTTCAGTCGCTTGAGCAGTTCTGTCGAGATCTGTGGATATTGCTCCTGCAGTGTCGGGTTGTAGTGCTTTTGTGGCGCTTGTTTCCGGTGTTTTCCAACGATGTGGAATGGTGGCCGCCACATTGAAGTGTTTCTTAGAAATTACGTGGTTCACCCCGGTCACCAACTTTGGACAACCTGGCATTGAGAGAAATGTCCTCTGGCATGTCAGAGTCGAGCTATTTCTTAGATACCATGGCATGGTCCTTGAGGGATCACTCATCGATTCTAAGGTCATGTTCGTGGAACCAGTGATGCCGCGGTTTGAAGTCCCATCGGTGGTGAGATCAGATTACCGACACTAGCCCACGTTTCAAACGGCTCCGGCATGTATGCCCTGCGCTATAAGTGTCGGCGGTGAATCCTTCTGGTGGTCGACAGGATCCTGGCTATGCCGATGAAGATCGGGGGCGGCAGCGGCGGCCCGTGTCGCGTGGTCGTCAACCTGCCGGCGCAGCCTCCGACGGCATGAGATGGCCGCATTCTGCCAGACTGAGACCAGAATTATCTGACCGTGAAGGCGGAGCCGAAACCACGATGGAAGTGCAAGTCATCACCGGCGAAAGCAATAAGGCAGGCAGTGTGAAATTTGCCGGTTTTTGTTGTCGGATTGGTGTAAAGCACTCGCTGGCGTACCTGATTGTTTGCTCGCTGTAGCACGCCAAGGATTGGTGTCCAGTTTGCCGCTAGAAGTATACTTTGCCCGGCTCTTCGTGTGCGCATGCCTGCGTTTTTAGGCGTGAGGACCAGACCATGCATCCCGCGATAACCGTCGTCCCGCCTTTTCGTTCCATCATTTCTGTCGCAATAATTTTCCAAGTAAGCTTGTTTGGATGACAAACACCGTACGAGCCTTGAAGCTGGTGTGTGCTGGATTGAGGATTGCTGGTGTTTGTCGCAGCATTCTGCATTTCTCTGGCGCCGGCAGGTCGTAGTGTTGGAAAGTATTCGAACGTAAGTGAGAACGCAGCACAGTCAGGACTGGGGGTGCGTGATCCTGACGGACCGTGACAGCATACCGACTCACCGCCGTGTTCCCGGGGCTTACCGCCCCACTTATGTGACCAGGCACACACGAGAGAGCGCTGGTAACGTGGCGGGATGCTGCAGAATGAGTTTTTTAGTAGTGGGATGCTTCGCAGCATAATTTTAAAATAAATGGTGATTGGGTTTCATCTTGTGTTTGAGGTGTATTTTTCCCCGTGGGTCGAGATAGCTGAACTGTATGTGAGCCACGCGTAATAATTGGTGGGTCGACAAAAGAATCGCATAGCCACCTTAATTGCGCATCCAGAAGGGAAGAGAGATGGCCAACAGGTAGAAGGCCAGAGGTTTAAGGTAAGGAACACGAGAGAGAGAGAGAGAGAGAGAGATAGAGAGAGAAGAGAGAGAGAGAGAGCGAGAGAGAGAGAGAGAGAGAGAGAGATAGAGAGAGAGAGAGAGAGAGAGAGAGAGAGAGAGAGAGAAAGAAGAGAGAGAGAGAGAGAGAGAGAGAGAGCGAGAGAGAGAGAGAGAGAGAGAGAGAGAGAGAGCGAGAGAGAGAGGAGAGAGAGAAGAGAGAGAGAGGAGAGAGAGAGAGAGAGAGAGAGAGAGAGATAGAGAGAGAGAGAGAGAGAGAGAGAGAGAGGAAGAGAGAGGAGAGGAAGAGAGAGAGAGAGAGAGAGAGAGAGAGAGAGATAGATATAAGAGAGACGTCTTATATAGGCGACCCGGATAGATAAGATTGGCGGCACATAGGACTCAGACGAGCACCAGAACGTTGATATGGGGTGGGGGGGGGGGGGGGCAGACGAATTATTCCCTACGACACTGTGTCTTTACGCACGAACTAAAGTTGCAACAACTTGTATACCATACAACATTCTTCCCAAGGTATTCAGACTCAAGCTATACCAGGTGGCTCTCCAGAACTCAAAACTTTATGGGCTATGGCAAGATGAGCTTCTGGACATAGAGCTTAGAGGGAAAAATAGTAGCCAGTTGCTACTTGATCGTTGCATTAACCTCCAGTTTTCTCAGTTTCCCCAAACTTTGTGAACTAAGATTGCAATCTATTAGTCAAGAAAATTATAGGATAAATCAACTTCTAAACAAGATCAAGAGACTTGTGATGATCACCGACGGACTTTACAAAAGCTTCATGTATTTGGGAGTGCTCCTGCGATTCATGTGTGGTCTTCTTAAAGACTACAAACCCCCCGTTACTTTAAGGCCGATTTTGTTGCCTTGTGGTACGCCCTCCTATAAAGTATCCAAACGGCTTATACCATTGCAACGCCTTTGAGCATAGCTGACTTCTCTCTGATTAAGTTTTCTCCATTTGCGCCCGAAATTTCGCAACTTCAGGTTTCGGAAAACATTGTTATCGCCAGCAGTGATGTTGAGAGCTTGTTACAAATATTCCACTGAAAAACGACAAACATTTCCGTGGACCGATTGTTTAAACAAAACATACCAGATGTGTCAAGCAATCCTTGAGTAAACCGAACGAAGAACATTGTTAAAGCCGTTTTATGTTTGATGTTCAATTTGTGCAATGTGCCCGCAAATCAAAGGCTAAGACTATCTGAGCTAGATCACGTAGCTTTCAGCCGACTCAAGTTTTCCATTCAATAGCCGACTATTGTAATGTAAATAATACGTTATAACCCGTACCGTTATATTTTCATAGATTTCCGCTGCCCTGGCCAAATGGTTCGGACGCCAATCTCCGGGACATGATAGGTAACGAGCTTCGCGTCTCGGTGGCGGCTGATTTTTTAACCCAGAAAATGGTATGTGTTAGTAAGGTGGAGGAACCCCACAGCTATGTGACAGGGCCGTACCAATGCAATCACTGAAGCGTAAAAGATGTTCCGAACAAGCGTGGGCAAACTTATTTGTCAAACTGGGCGACGTGGCAATCTGAAACAGATATCTGTGCAAACTGTCTGGCATGAGTTAAAGAAGTTCGCAAACCAATCAATTTCTTTTGTAGCTCATCAACAGCAGCACTCACAGGACAATAACGGAAGGCACGCAAACCTTGTGTGCGCATTCAAATGACTCTTTCGAGAGTTTTGCCACAGTCTCCTTGTTGATGCAGTGCTCGAAAGCATGCCCACCAAACAAGCGCGTCACACGTACTTTGCGGTCCTGGCAGCCCGTGCTGCTGCGCTAGGTTCCCCCGGGCCGGCACACACATCTGGTGGATCCCTGTCCCTGAAAGACGTGCTGTTCACAGAAGGCCTCCCGCAAGCTCATGATCGCCGTTGCTGGACTCAGCGGCTAACGGCGCACGCTCTGATGTGTCACCACTTTCTTCGCTCGCATATTTGAACCGGCTGAAGATGATATGACCGATGCATGAGGAGTAAGTGTAGTTACTTCAATCTTATCAGGCGAAAAATAACAATATTAATACTTCAATTGAAGCTTAAACATAAAACGGTCATGCAACAAAATATCTGAACAGTCAAGTTTAGCTTTGCTTGAAACGCTCAGTGCTCTTTCGGCTTTTCATTACTTCCATAGAAAGGACGCATTTTCGTCAGGCAACTAACGTTAAGATGGTTTTTTGCAAAACACGCATTCGGCTTGGTGGGCATTTCAAAATACGAAAAACGCTTCCAGTCAGATAGTTTAGGAAGAGTAAGTTTCAATACGTACACGAAACGCCTTCATTACGTGACATGCCGGCATTGCATGAGAAGTCTCGTATTTATGAAATTTCGATATTTATATCTGCCATCTGTGTGCGTTCATCGGCGTCCGGTCAGTCAGTCGGCGGCGACCAATTACGCTCACGTCGTTGGCCGTCGCAATCATCCCAGCCAGATGGCATGCCGGCACGCACGGACACCCTCAGGTGTCGTTACCGGGGATGACCGAGACGCGCCGCCATGAAGAGCACATTCCTGGTTCGCGATGACCGCGGCCGGAACCACGCACGCCTCCTGACCTTCAGCCAACGGCCCCTGGATCGTCCCTAGCACTTGCAGTGAGCGATTCGTTCTGAGCGATGGAAGTAATGACTGGAGACCCGTCATGAAACTCAAGTGATGTTGATCGGGAAAAGCAAGATAGAGAGAGGGAGAGAAGAGAGAGGGGAAGAGAGACATAGAGAGAGGGAGAGAAAGAGAGAGACAGACAAACAGGGAGACGACAGACAGACAGACAGACAGACAGAGAGACAGAGAGACAGAGAGACAGAGAGATAGACAGACAGACAGACAGACAGACAGAGACAGAGACAGAGAGACAGGGGAGACAGAGAGACAGAGAGACAGAGAGACAGAGAGATATACAGACAGGCAGACAGACAGACAGATAGACAGACAGACAGACAGACAGGCAGGCAGACAGACAGCCGGGCAGACAGAAAGACAGACAGCAGACAGGAAGGGAGAGATGAATGAAAGGCTAAGATGCCATGATGGCATGATAACCTTACCCTAGCCTGCTGGCGCGTAGATGCTTTCACGAGATTAGAAGAGAAGTCAGCGAACTGGCACCAGCTTCTTCCCACGTCAGCATTTTCCATGTCCATCGTGCCCAGCGCGGCGATCAGGTCTGTCCCAATGCGCCACTTTGGCCGGCGCCTCTGCCGACCGCGCCGCGCTCGTAGATCGGTCACTGTCGTCCAGTTCCGCCCGCACCGTTCTGGCCAGCGGGGCGATTCGATCCGACTGAAATGGCCACACTTCTCGAGGGAGACGCGCCAATTTTAGGGCTTCGGTTCCGTAACAAACGGAGCAACGCGGCCCGACCACGCCCGTGTGTTTACGCCGTGGCCTCGGTCGAGCTTCGAGCGACTGGATGACTAGGCTGACGTGCAGAGAAGAACCGCAGGGCAGTTGGAAGACTTGGGGCAGCGAAGTAGATCGGATAGCCGAGCAGCTGATCAGAACGACTAAAAGGGTATCATAGCCGGGGTGAAGACCATGAAAGAAATCTCCCTGTGCGGAGACAAAATGAATTCGCTTTGTCTGAACATAACAAGTTTTGCGAAAGCCTGACAACATCGTTGAGTTTGACGGCCTGCAATTTTAGACTTGTTTGGCTAATTTAAAGTTCAAAGCTTACCGGAAAAGCTGTTTCAAGCTCTTGAAACACCGCGCTGGAATTTTGTTTCTAGTTTCTAGGCAGATTACAAATTACGTAGACCTCGCCGTCAGCTTCTGAGATGATCACGGAAACTGAGGACGATAGATTCAAACCAGTTCAAACATCTCAGCTGGTGATGAAAAACCCACAACCAAATAATCACTCATGTTTCATGGAATGCTAGTTTTATTCGATGCTGTCTGTTTCCTTGTCATGTTACGTTCTTGTTAATGCAATTATTTTCTCTTGAGGTTTGGGCTAATTTGTTACAAAAAAGATCCAGCTTAAAGTGATGCAAGCCCAATTTGCTCCATGCTTGTAAGTATTTGAAGTTGCTATATTAACAAAACAGCATGATTGATAATCTACACAATAAGACAGCACACCACTAAGGAGATAATTTCATACAAAAACAAAAGTTTAACACCACCAGGGAGTGCCCTTTGCTCATGTGTATACAAGTCCCGCCAAAAAAGTTCGAACCATCTTTTTTTAGTGTGTTGCATAAGTAAGGACAGACCCGGCTGCTGAAATGCTCTCTCTAGCCTTATCGTCTCACCTTGTCCTTTATTTTGGTTGACCACAGACCACCTCTTAGAAACTTCTGCGGAAGCAAAATTGCTCTTGTACAAAGGGCGTACACGGGGCTTTGAAGTATATCCTGAACTGATTTGTGTTGCTATGTTGGATCTCATATGCCAATCGTACCAATCGATCTCGTATGACGCGACAGCTGTTGTCTTTCACTCCGTACTGAGCAGTACTATGGTGCCAAGGCCACGGGAATCTGGGAACATCAACCAAAACTGCTTGGACCTTGCTGCGAGACAAAACACGAAAGAAAAACAAAAACAAGACGAAGCAAAAACAAAAGCTTTTCGGTAAAAGGCTCCGTCATATGTACATAAGATCAAAAGCATGTGTCCATTTCCATCCAGTACTTGCTAAGATGTGTTTGTTGTGTGTACCTGAAAGCTGCCGCCCAAGCTGGACCGATTTAGATCAACTGAGGATCTCGCCCCGGGGCTTTCACCAAAGATACATACAAGAGGCGCCACGTGCGGCACATTACATTGGCACGGACGCCCGAGCCAGGCTGACCTCTTTTGGTCAGTTGGTATATGACTTCACCATGCCAGTCGGGTTGACAATGCGGCAATTCTGAGGCTAGTGTCAAGTGTCACTGGATCACCAGTGCCTTCCCCGAGGACTGCAGAAGACTGTGTGCCGGATCGCCCAGATTGTTTTTTTTTGCGTAATTAGGAAAAAACGTATATCATTTTAAGTCATTGAATGTTAACGTAAATGTCATCATAAAAAGCAAGTGAGACACATATTCCTGACTTTTGCAGCACTGTAGCATTAAGTAGAAGCCCAGTTCATACCACACGGTTCGTTTTATGCCCAATTATCAGCCGTGTACCGCGAACTCGAACTGTATCTAATGTGTACACACAGTTGTTGGTGAGAAGGATGCACATTTGCGTGCATCTATATAAGACTTGAAGAAATATCCACACCTGAGCGTAGCATTTGGGGCGAATCATAGGTGAATCGTGAAGCGTCAGTGCAAATGAGCCCTGTACGTCAGCATCAACGAGCTTCTGAAAGAGGCCTTGTTTCATAGACGCAACACAGCACACGGATGCTCTCTGCAACCAAGTGCAGGATTAGTCACTGGCAGGCTTGTGGCGGGGGGGGGGGAAGGGGCTCCACTGAGCCCAGATTATGAAACAGGTTTAAACGTGGTTGTAACTTTCCAGTTTCCACAGAGCAATTCACTTTCCACAGAGCAGTTCGCAAACGTACGCATTACGGAAGATTGGAACAGCCTGTAACATCAAAGCCCTGCAGATTTGGCGATGAAGTGTGTCTAGAGCATAGCCAAGCGCAGCCTAGATGAATGGGCCCAGTGTGGTGCATCGCGACGACATTCTTATGCCAATATAAGCAGCACCATCCCGACCTATGGGCACCACTCTCTTCCGCAAGCGGGGGTTCCGGCACGACATGACAACTCATTTTAGTGCTCGAATGGGGGGGGGGGCCTTTCTTCGTTACGTAACGAGAACCAGGCGCGGCGGGGGCCCGCTGGGACGCGTCACCGTGCTTTCTCGTTCAAACTGAGCGGGCCGAAGGTCGTCCTCATCGCCGTCGTAAAGAACCGCTCCCATAACGCCATCGCATGCCGTCACAGCCAGCAGATGGCCATTCGGGGAAGCGGCGGCGGACGGCTCCCGTAATGTGGGGCGGTGCCCCACTCGCCGCTAACGGGCCGCAATGCATCTGGGTCTATTTCTGCACGGCGGTCAGCGGCCAGCGGTCGTGCCTTGCAGCCACGACGTCGGCACACTAATGAGGACCAGTGACTACGCGTGAGGCCCCGTGACCCCGGCTGCAGCGTGAGTCCCGCGGCGGATGTCCACGGACGCGCGCTACTACGGCACTAAGCATACACATGCTGGCATGCGTGCTGAAGCCTATGCTAATGAGGCCGCTGTCTGCTAATGATGCCGCTGTCTGGCATGGGTGGATTGGTTGAGAGAATGTGGCGGGGTAAGGGGAAAGAAAAGTTGAATGGTCTGCGAAAGTAATCTATTCCGTCTTACAGTTGAAAGAGTGCGTTGATTTTGTTGTTAATTACTGATAAAGAAGTGACTGTGTGCTGTGTAATCTCAGCACAGTTAAAATGCTGCACACGCTATGCATCAATAACGGGGCGATGGCAGCCACAGAAATGTAGGGAAGAGCTGTAGTTAGTACGATCTGTATGTAAAAGAACGTGATAACCAACGCATGTTTCGTATTCGAATTCGTGCATCGTGTCCGCCACTGTACCGATGCGGGGCATGGCCGGCCCGGCATAAGTGTCATAACAAGGGATAGAGACATAAAAGCCATAAACACTATTATTTCTAACACTTCGTCCGCTATCAAATTTCTCTATACATCATTGTTCAATCTTCAGCTTTTGTTACATATTCAGAACTAGGCTGCACCTGTCTTTCGGCCCACCAAAGCTGCACGTTCAAATACCAAAGAATGGAGTGATACTGAGTCGTGACTGCGCACACAGACAGCCGAACAGCACAAAAACGCCAGCTATCGTCGCCTCACTTCGCGGACGCGCAGAAACTCACCACAGCGCCTGGTACACGTTTGTCCTCGTGTACAGTGAAGTGCAAGTGGTTGTCCAGATACGCCACGCTTGCGGCGGCAAGGTCATCGAGGTCATCGGCAAGGTCACCGTCCCCATTCGCACCCGACTCGCGGGCGTACGTGTCCCGAGCCATGCGGCGCACACGTCGGCCGGTGTATATCTAGGTCGCACACGTCAGAGAACCAGTGCGAGGTACGGTACCGGTGCGCTCACAGCCACCGGACGCCATGGACATCTCAGCCCTGATTGTCGTGCTGCTCGCAAGGAACGGTCCTGTGCAGGTAAGCAAAGGAACGGTCCTGTGCAGGTAAGCAAAGTGGAGCGCAGGCTCCATCGATTTGAACAAGATTAACAGAAACATGAGGAACATCAAGATAACGAAACATGACGTGGATGTGGACCGGAGCCGAACTTCACAATTCAAACATTATGGTACTGAAAGCAATGTTTGAGTCCTGAACAAATTTTGATAATGGCCGAAAAGACACACATTGCAAAAAAGCCTCCGGAAAGAATGAATAAGCTGACTTTGCTGTCGGTGCCGCAGAAATGATAGGGCTGAGTCCTCAGGGCCCCACTGAAACCGGGTTTAGCTATGAATTGCAGAGAATAAACTTTACCGCAATACCCATGAACCACCGGGCTCCATTCTGTCCTTAAAAAAATAACTGTTAAACATTTGCAATTGTGAGATCGAGAGCTTGCAATGCAGATTTTGTTATCGGAATTCCGAGAAAACAGTTGAATTGCCTATGCATTTGCTGCAAACGAGAACGGGTGGATTAAACCGTTTAATCCTCTTTCGAGTGAGCTCCCAATGCGATCAATAGCACTCAGTGGCTGACCCGACTGCGTTCCCGACATGCTGGCCCTACAAGAACTATCAAAACATGATTTACTTGAATGCATGTAAACCAAGCTAATAAGCGCTTGCTCGTTTAGAAAATCAGCCATGATACAAAGTTGGTCCTGGGGTGTGCATTCAGGTGGTGAGAGCCGGAGGTATCGTGAGATATATGAGGCATGTACTTAGCATCATGTCGTAGCAACAGGGCTCAGCCAGGATGCTTTCAGGGGAGAAGCTCGGTTACCGCGCGTCGAGCCGATTTTTAATTTTCTGTCGATAACCCTCCATGGTGAAAAACGACAAGCCCTGACCTTAAGTGGAGGGAGGCGGCCTCCGGCCCCTCCCTTGGCCGCGCCCCTGCAGAGGAGCGTCCCTCCCTCTTATTTGGCTGCGCCCCTGCATAACAATGAGATAACACTACATGGAAAACTATTCACAGGCCGCAAGCTTAGCCCGCCAGTACGTCCAACACGTCAAAGAAGACGTCAAGGAAGGGGTGTACCACATTCTCGACGCCCCCGTTGATAGCATACCAACGGCCCGGATGTTCACAGAAGACGGATTAGCGGTGAGAAGGCCTTTAAAGCGGCATGCACAAGGCGACTGTTGCATGCCAACTTCATCCGCCTCAGGTAACACAAGTTATGATGAAGTTACGTACTTTTCGGGCCTTTCAATGCCTGAGATCTGAAGACATTCATGCATGTGTACTTATGTTGCCAAGCGCCCCAGGGCTGAGTGGTCGTGAAGCGGTAAGTTTGTGCTGGCCTCCTGACTGCAGGAGAGCAGGGGGCAAGGGGCAGGCAGCATAAGGCCAAGAACCAGCCAGATCTGTTGGAGCGCGACTGATGTAAACTTCTTCTTTTGAACATTAACTAATATCAGGCCGATGGCTAACCAAGCTGTTCTCTTCACCCGATATCCCCCCGCCCTGTTACCTCAGACTCTCGTCAGACGCTCAGCAGGACGACGACTGACCCGGCTGACCTCTTCACCCGGTACCCCCCCCCCCACACCCTGTCGCCTCAGACTCTCGTCAGACGCTCAGCAGGACGATGACTGACCCGGCTGACCCCTTCACCCGGTATCCCCCCCCCCCCCCCCCCCGTCACCTCAGACTCTCGTGGACACTCGGTAAGCGACCTGCCTGCCGATTACCTGGCGCTGTTTATGTATGACTCGTGGGTGCATGATATTTGCATGCATGCATTAGGAACTCCCAACCGCAAGATAACGGAAGTTGGTATGTTAATCGTTGCGAGCCGTGACCAACCGACGCTGGTACCACGGCAAGTAGATAGAGCACATTTGTTGAATGTTCCGCACGGGTTTTGGTGTGTTTTATCAAGCTGCACTCAAGTGCACTTGTGAAAACATGTTATGTGTTGCTTTTGTGGATTCATTTAAATACACTCCGCGTGATTGTAACTTCAATGACATTCGTCAAATCCTGACAGCAATAATATTTATAAACCAAACGCATTATGCTCAAACTCCTAATAAATCCGCATAATACAAAGCCACTTTTCCAGTGACCTCTGGTCCAAATTGCTATTAAGACATGACACGTATAAACGCTTTTCACGAATCAGTAGTCGCTTAACAGAGTATCAGCACCGTCTTGATCCGATTGTGAAACCTTCAAGACCTACATTAATAATAATTGTATGTCCTTCGTGTTTGTTCTTGCGATATCGCAAATCAAGCCACGGGCGTTCTTGCTCTCGGCCGCATGTGACTTTTCTGGGTCTTGCATTTTGTGCGGAACTGGAAACGAACTGTACTAAAGCTATACTGAAACTGTTTTCTCAGACATAGCGGCCGAGTTTTGCTACTAAACCAAGAAACACGAAACACGCACTGCAGAAAACCAAGAGACTTTCTGAGCTGTATCGAGCTATGTGCGGTGTATCCACTTACCCTCCTTGACTACACGGTTCATAGCCTAACATCACGTTCTGTTCTTCCAGGGGAGAAATCCGCTCGAAAAGTACCAGCACGACACCATTGTGGAGACTCGTGCTGGGGTTCAGGAGGTCATCAATGCTCCCCTGCATAGCATGCCGTCTCTGAGGTTTCCTCCACACCGACATGAATATCATGATCAAGTGGCAAGTATCGCATGGCCTGGTGCATCAGTGTATTGACAACTTTGAAGCGAAAAAAAAACTATTTTCATGGTCAACCTACGGCGGAATTAGCGGATGAAGCGCATGGCCGTTTGCGTGCTTTGTACGGTACTTTAAAAGAGTCGTAATGTGTGACGTTGATCAAAATGTGACAAGATAAAGAGCAAATCAGGGTCATCACGCAAACAAAGTGTGCTTTTGGTCAAAGTATCATGTGTGAAACAAGTTCGATCCTGGATGTTGCATCGACTTGAAGCTGGATTTGTTCATGTTTATGCCGTTGTTAGTTCGACCACTTTATTCTGCAACACACAAGTAGTGATAAAAATATTTGATCAGACAGTGATGACGAATATACAGCATTGAAACATGACAAACCGGAATCGTACACGCATCGTTAAAGGGTCACAATTGCAGGTGACAAGCCCTTTAGAAGAATACAAGCAGCTCGTGTTGGAAGACGTGTTTGATGGAGTGGGCCAAGTTGTGCTCGCTCCTGCCACCAGTATCACTGCGGTGGGTGACCCAGTGGGGGGCATTCTTTCGGCAAGTAACTGCGCACCAACTTGGTCGTTTTAGTATAATATGCAATGTTGAATTATCAATATCATTATTTGAATGTGGTATATCACATTACTACAAGCGTATTGTGCTTAAATATGATTTCATACATACATTACATACATACATTATCAATACGATCTTTTTTTGGTTACAATTTCATCGTATATATTAGCATGTGAAGATATGCTTGCCCATATTGTGTTGAAAATGTGTCATACCTGCTATGTATGGCACCATTGGAATGCGCCTCACAACCTTAGTAGTAAAACATAGAATTCCTTGCACGTTATATGACGCCATATGATTACTGTGCGGCAGAGGACGTGAGTATATGCCACAGCGGTAGCATCGCGTTATTCAAACTAACTCCCATGCTCTTCTTCGCCTTCATTCACCTTTGAAATCGAGGTGACTGAGCAATACCGGTAGGTTCTCGCGTTACGCTGAGTGATTCGCAGGTTTTGTGAAGCCTCACCTGGATGACAATGATCACCTCAACCCCCGCCCAGATTCACCGTTTTTCATAACGTGGGCTGATAGGGAGGGTCGACGCGGCCTTTGCCGTTTCAAAACTCAGAAAGGTAGATTGAACCTCGCGGAATGCTCCATTGGATGGGTCTCCGCGAGATGTCACGATTGATGACAATTTGATGTTGCTATACCAGATCAGAGGTCAAATTTTCATGATTCGTTTTATACGAGATGAAAGACGTCATCTAACTCAAGAATTTAAACTTCGAAAATGGCGACGTAAACCATGACAACATTTTGGAGGGTTTTCCTTGCGCTTACTGGACCGTCGTGCTGAGACCAAAACTGAGACCACGTGGAGTATTGGTCATCTACAGCAGTTAGCACTTATATCAAAATCTTTCGGACAGAAATAGTATAATTTAAATAATGCACAACTGGCAAAAGCTGCAAACACCATAAGATTAAAGTTAGATGATGCAAGTGAAAGAAAAGGAAAAATACAGCGGGTCAAAACCATTTTCCATAATTTACTTATTTAACACGCGCCCGGGGGCACCGGCTAGATACCCTTCGCTCGGGTGGGGGTAAATTTGACACTCCCGAGATCTCAGGAACTAAGAGAGCTAGAGGCACCAAATTTGCAGGATGTTTTGACCTGTACGTGAACTCACTTAGGTCAACGTTTGAGCTTCCTATGTCATGACCTTCGGGTCAAATAAGGTCAAATATGTCAGATTCTAGGTTGGTCACCAAAGTGCCCTCAGAACCTAGGAAACTGTTTCTAAGCAAAAGGTCAAAAGCTCATTTGAGGTCAGTGACTTTGTTTGACTTTTTAAAGGTCATGGTGACCAAAATCATACAAGACTGCTCTGAATTTGGCATTTGAATAAGGGACAAAGATCACGCTAGTCAGTATGTTCATAAAACAAAATGTCGACCTGGGTCATCTTAGGTCAATGGCTCTTTATGACCTCTAAGAAGCCAATTAAAGATGTATAATGTGGTTCCTGCTGTCAACAAATTCGAAATGAGCACCACAAACTGTCCCATACAGCAAGACCTACAGTAATTAATCAGGTTGGTTGTGATCTTGGTCTGACCTTCATACCTGACCTTAGGTCAACGTAATTTGCTAATTCAATATTTGTAGTGCCTAAGAAAGCATCTCAGAGATGTATGGCTGCGTCAAACACTCCGTTATTGTATCAGATTGGATGATTTCCTAGAAAGGGCCTTCGCTGAAACCATGGCTTGACTTTGACCTGCCATAGATTAGCAAACTTACGAGGCAAATCTAGTTTTTTATGTCAAACGATCTGCTATTTAATTGTCTACAGCTATGCAAAATTTGGCGCTGCTGCGCCGCTCCGTTTGGAAACCATTTTAGAAAAACCTTTGGAGAGGCAAATATGACCCCCCAACCGGGCGCGTGTTAAGGTATGCCATCAGTAACTGAAAAAAGTACCTGTGATTGGTATGTGCTCGAGGTTATGTTCTGTACTAACATGCCACCATCGGTCATCAGCCAAAAGCCAAACACTTATAGACACATATGTTTATTCACCAACCCCTCACTGCTTCAGCGGCCAACGCAGCATTCTCGTCCTGTTGCTGACAGGGGGCCAGCTCATAACTAGTGCTGTTTCCACAGGGAGGAGACTCTCTGGGCAGTTATCAGGACAACACTATGAAATCCATCCGCGCTGGTGTGCGAGAGGTACTAAGCGCGCCTCAGCGGAACGTCCCAACGCTGCAGTTTCATCAACATCCACATCTCCACTGAAATTCGTGGGTAAGTCGGCACAAGGTGCTCCTGCCACACTCTCAAGTCCATATGCGATGCTGGTAATAGCTCAAGCCTTTTTCGGGAGACATATGTTTTAATAACTGTCAGCCTGACTCCGGTCCTGGGCCTGGCTCGAGACAGCACATCGCCAGGCTCCGTTTGGGCACGGCGAGGTTAAGGGGCGGCACGTGCCATACGATTGCTTCCTACGGTAAGAAAACTACTCTTTTCTATCATACAAGGTGGAAAATGATAACCACGCTCAACATAAACGATGGTTTTGTAGCGGGTAAAGCTGACATAATCGGATCGTAAAAACGCAAAGGAACTTTTTTGAGATTCATGGTGCAAGAACTTTCCTTTTGTACTACAAATTCCTCCAATGACTGTTTCCCTACTCATGTGCGTTATGCATGCCAAGGAAAATGTTTGCAATGCATGCTACTACCGTACACAAATTCTTGGAACAAAAACCAAATAGGCACGCACAAAAATGGCTGTCTACAGTTCAGCATGTTCTCCATCGGTCTTGAAGCATATTAGGCACATAAGCGATTAAAACCAACAAAATTCCGCAACTTTTGATGTTACTTTCGCCATAATCGCGCCAGATCTAACATAAATATGGGATTATTGGTTGCCTCAGTCTTCATACGAGTATATGGAGTAGGTCTGCTCAAAGTATGTAAACTTCAAATGCGTGGTGCTCCCCGACCAACATGCTGTGTACTCTCAATACTCATAGAAAATAATGAGAGCTTAAACACTTGCGTTCTGCCAGGTCGAGGCGGTCGAAGACGAGTGATACAGGCAGGCATGGTAACAGAACTTGCTCCCACATCCGAAATGAATACGACAGCAAAAAAAAAAAAAAAACTCAGCGTACTCGCCGCTGCCGCACATTGTGTGGTATTGCTATCGCAAACCTCAAGCTGCGCCGTCAGAAAATGACGCACGGGCGTGTGCTGACAATGGCTGCTAACCAATGAAACTTGAGATTGCCTGAGATCTGAGAGATCTGATGATGATGAGATGATGATGAGATAAGAGAGATGATGAGAGATCTGAGAGATGAGAGGGGGATCTGCGAGTGTGTGCACCATGAATGTGTCAGCGTCAGCAGAAGTGGTTGGCTCAACACAGACCGGTTTATGGACGGATTGGATTACGGATATGGATTATGAACGGGTGTTTGAGAGGACTTGCGTTATAAATGTGATAGAAGACGAGCACTCAATCAATCACCAGTTTTTGACAAGGGGAAACCATGGTGGGCTTTTTCTGTCTTTAATGTCAGTAACAACAGAAAGTTCGGCAGAACATACTCACAATCGGGCATGCCTCGATATGGTTAAGACTTCACGGTGGCGCACACGACACAGCGCTGCTGTAAGGGTGACTCCAAATGCCGCGGAATTGCGCGGGCTTCTGACGTCACGTGGAATGTTTCTCCAACCCTGGGCTACTTGCCCCGAGAACTGGCGCCTAGCCAACTCGTTAAGACGCGCAGAACTTATAGCAGACCGTCAAAGATCACCCAGGGGCTCAATGTCGCGACATGAGTGTGTGGGGGAAGGGGCACAAGCAGTAACGATTGACGCACTTTACCCTCAAACGGGTGGTTTGCGTCATTTTATTATCCCTACAACAAACGAGTTTCTCCCTGAATTCGGCTCACTTTCTTCTCATTTTTTGGGAGCGTGGGCTGGAGGTACCTGACTGATGGGAGACTAGTTCACTGGGATCATCTCATCTACCCTAGGCCACGCATAATCCCTCATTGCAACAGAAAAACACTGCAGGCCTCATTGCCCGTGGCATCTAAGCTCGGTAGTGCTCACCGACTGTACAGACTTCAGAACCAACTGCACTGTACTGTTTTCTTAACCAACACTATGCATGACCACACCCACAACAGGACATGCCGCAACAGGCAGTCGATCTGTGCCTCCAGTTCAGCTCAGCTCAGTTGCATTGCAGCATGCTTTTTTCATGTTACACCGTGATGAGAACTGGAGCTGTCCAGTTATCGATTTGTGTGAGCATGATAGGTACTGTGTCTGAGCGGGACTCTGCTCCGCACCGATGTTTATTTAAGACTGCCACGGTCTCTTCCAGGCTGAAGCAGATGGCTCATGTGCTGACTGTTAATTAGATATTTGCCTGCCGTATCAAACTTGTAACGGTGAGCTTTGCCATCTGTTCATGGAAGCCAATTAAGTCATACCACACCATCAGCTTATTTTGGTGCACCTCTAACCAATCAAGTGCTATGGAAAACTTAGCTCGCCTGTCATGTAAAGCTTATGGTTTAGTCTAACAACTGGTCCAAGTCGGCGCGGTTTATTTTGGTAGAGTTCAAATTAGCCGAAGATATGCAAGGCTATTACGTGAGGCAGAGCCAAAACTACGCACAAAGTAGGCGCGACGATATTGAAAGAATTTGCGTACATTGCGGTGCATTGCCCATGAGCGCAAGAGGCATGGCTCCGCAAATCATACTAATTGGGCATACAGTCCTGTCACGTTATTCGGAAAGCTCACACAACAAGCTGGTTTATTCCTGTCACCACATGACATCTCAGCATGCTGCGTAAAGCGACAAGAGGGTTTGATTGATGACCGGATGGTTATCATCTTAGTTTCCCGCGTGTTGGCCCGAGCTCGGGTCCCGGTTGGGTCAAGATCATTAGTTCCTGGTACAAACGCCATAGTCGCTGGCGCTTCGTAAGAGCGCACTCACCTGTGCGCGACACGCCCCTTCTTCCACATGCGCTCGGGGAGGGGTCAAATTGACCCCGACAGGTTTACCAGATTGGTTTCCGAACGGCGCGGCGTAGACGCGCCAAACTAGTATGTAAAGAACTGAGTAGCGATTTTTTTACGTAAAAATAAGACGTACCATGTAAGGTCGCTGACATATGGTTGGTCAAAGTTTGGCCATGTTTGTCAGCGAAGGGCATTCCTAGGGAATCGTTCGAAGTGATACGAAAACGGAATATTAGAGGAAGCCATGCGTATCTAAGATACTTTCGTAGGCAACAAACAGATTGAATTTAGAATTACAACTTCCATTGACTTACGATAGAGGACGAAAGTCAGAACAAGGTTAAAACTACCTTGTTTTTTTTTACTCGAGAGCATGGTTTTATAAAGGTAGCTTCTGATACTCATTTCGAATTTTTGAGTGACAGTGACCGCAACAGACATGATATTCCATGAACTTTTTTGAGGCCAGAGCAGGTCACTGACTTGAAATGACCTTGGTCGATACTGTGTTTGAGGAACATGCCGCCTAACGTAACCCCTGAGGCCAATTCGAAACGCAATGGGAGCAATCTCAAACGGCTTTAATCACCTTGACCATATACAGTTCAAACAAAATCACTGACTCCATTAAACGTCTTCATAGAACAGATGCCCAGCTTCACGGCGATTGCATGAGGGCTTCTGGGGCAGTTGAGATACCAATTTGGAGTTGGACCTTCTGTGACCTTATTCGATCCCAAGATCATGACCTAGGAACCCCAAATATTGGCACAAGCAAGTTTACGTACAGGCCAATCTGCTCTGTGAATTTAGTGTCTTTAGCTTTTTAAGTTTTTGAGATCTCAGGAGAGGGTTCAAACTGATCTCCACGCCCCCACCCCAACAGAGCAAACCGTATTCAACCCCCCCCCCCCCCCCGCTGACCGCCCTCCGTGACCGCCAGGAGCGCGTGCAGCTCCCGTTGGCTCAGAAGAGTAGACGTCCTTTGTTTGGTGACGTTGAGACCCCTGCCCTGCCAGAACTCCTCCCGTCTGTGCGCAGACGTCTGAAGCGAAGACTCCCAGAAGCGTGGAAGTTCTTCGTTCGGTGGCGTCCGTGCCCCCCTGCTCCTGTCAGAACTACTGGAGTCTGCGCGCGGCCATCTGCTGAAGTGGGGACTCCCAGAAGCGCGGAAGCTCTTCGTTCGGTGGCGCCCGTGTCCCCCTGCTCCCCTCAGGACCACTGGCGTCTGCGCGCGGACATCTGATGAAGTGGGGACTCCCAGACGCTGGCGCGATGGCAGTCTGAATGGTGAGCCTGAAACGTTTGTTGGCTGTTGGGTTTAGCTGTCACTCGGCGCCGCGAATTTGCTCAAACAATTTGTTGTGTAAACGGGGGTCAGTGTGGTTTACACAGACTTTCAACACTCGTGTTCGTCTATCGTCATTTTCATTACGTTCTTGTCAACCAATGAGTCGCCTAGCTTGACGTGATGTTTTGTTGGCATGTCACTGATGCATTCACAGTGCTGGGAGGTTTACCGCGAAAAGTTTGCTGGCGATGTTTCCTTTTTGGGTCGCGTCAGGCGTATGAGTGTCGACTTCGGCCATTATCTTGCATCACGTTAGCGCGTATCCACACATCAGCACGTGTCTGCTCGGGGTGGGAGATGACGATGATAAACGGTAGAGTCCAAAACAAGTCGCATGACCTTGCATGAGTTCACGTGTATTGCGTAAAACATATCGCATCACCGCCCGCTTTCGTTTTTTGCGAAATAAACGAGACACACAAGCGGTGGTCTTGGAAGGACACCTTCTACGAATCGCATCGCATTAAGCTGATGCCGTCATTGTCTACCAGCAACACGAACGATTTTTGTGTTGACTTCAATTCTTACTCCAGGGGTTTCGCAATTCTATGATATGAGCGATGGAGTGATACGATTTTACGAGGTTTGTACTAAGCTCGTAATGGTTTATGGTTTCAACCGTTTCATAGGCTAAAAAGTACCAAATACTTTTTGAAGACGAGACAGAAACATCTCCAGCGTTTCATTTACCGCACACCGCACCTTTCAGCATAACAACCTGCGTTAGCTGCCTTGCTAGTTCATTTGTTTCATATAATATTCTGGGCACTGAGCTAGGGTCAATTCCGACGTCGACCCGCCTAAACCTTGAAAGAAACCGAATCGACCTTAGCCAATAGACCGTTTGACTTGTTTCGGAGCCAACCACCACTCCTCGAGGCCACTCCACCATTCCACGTGACTTAACCTCACACCGAGTCAATCATGAACATACGGCAACGTGGAAATGCAAAAAATCGGTAATGGTAACGTCTCTCGCCTGACCTTTTGAGCTAATTTCTGTGCTTTATCTTAGTATTCGGTTGATGAACGCCGTTAAAACGAAATGCTTCCACAGACTGCTGGCACTTTTAGCGGCCGCGTAGCTTTGTTCAAAGGTCAGTAACAGTTTGAGGGCTGTTGAGTGTCCACAGGGCTTACGCCAGAGTGGAATGATAAGAACACATGATCACTTTAGCGATTGTTTAAATTGCTGAGAGGGTCGATGAAATTGTCTGTCGGTGGCGTGGGAGGACGTCACATCAAATGAAATTTACTTGCCTTTTCGCGTGCTCAGCAGTCCGGTAAGTCGCTTGCCGTTTCGGAGAGACTCACATGCCCAGCTTGTGACCGTTTCGGAGAGATGCACTTGCTCAGCTTGTGACCACTTCGGAGAGAGGCGCTTGCTCAGCTTGTGACCGGTCCGGAGAAAGGCGTTTGCTCAGCTTGTGACCGCTTCGGAGGGGGGCGCTTGCTCAGCTTGTGACCGCTTCGGAGAGAGGCGCTTGCTCAGCTTGTGACCGCCTCGGAGGGGGGCGCTTGCTCAGCTTGTGACCGGTTCGGAGAGAGGCGCTTGCTCAGCTTGTGACCGCTTCGGAAGGAGGCGCTTGCTCAGCTTGTGACCGCTTCGGAGGGGGGCGCTTGCTCAGCTTGTGACCGGTTCGGAGAGAGGCGCTTGCTCAGCTTGTGACCGCTTCGGAAGGAGGCGCTTGCTCAGCTTGTGACCGCTTCGGAGGGAGGCGCTTACTCAGGTTGTGACCGCTTCGGAGGGAGGCACTTTCTCAGCTTGTGACTGTCTCGGAGAGAGGCGCTTGCTCAGCTTGTGACCGCTTCGGAGAGAGGCGCTTGCTCGGCTTGTGACCGCGACGCGGTCGCGAAGCCGCTGGAGCTTCCTAAGACTTGCACTGAACCCGCTTGTAATTTATACGCGCTCGGGTGGGAGGAGTAAATTTGACCCCCTTCCCCGAAGGTGTTCCCAGAATAACTTCAGAACGGCGTGGTGCAGCCGCACAAAACTTTGCCTTACCTTGCCTTTGCCTTTAGGTTATTGAATAGCGGATATTTTGGTATGCAAAATTAGATGTGCTTTGTTAGGTGGCTGACCTGTAGCAGGTCAAAGTCAGGCCATCGCTGTCAGCAAGAGCTAAGGAGTCACAGGAAATCGTCTAGGCTGATGCAACAACGTAGTGCAAGATGAAGCCGTATGTTTCTGAGATAGGTTTTTGGCAATTGCAAGGTAACAATTCTGAGACGATAAGATAATTTCAGATGGGATTGCGACGAATTTCAGACTCTTTTGGGTCAAGTGTAAATGTTAGACCGAGGTGAAAACCGGTCTCCTTTTTTGCTACATGGATTGCTTTTTTGGGTAGTTTCTGATGTTTATCGCGAATTTCTTGATAACATGGACAACAGCAGACATCCTTCCGGGACATCTGTAATATCAAAGGTCACCGATCTAGAATGACCTAGACCTACCTTTTGTTTCAGGAACACACTGCTTAGCGTAATCCTGGACGGCTGTTAGAATTCAAAAATCAAAACGATCTCCTAGATTTTTGGTTACCATGACCTTTTCAAGGTAACTCGAGATCACGTACCAGAAATGAACACAAGTGATCTTTTGCTTAAAAGAGGTGTCAAGATACAAGGCGGTGCATGAGGAGGTCTAGGGGCACTTCAAACACAAACGTGGAGTATAACCTTGATTGGCGCTATTTGACCCAAAGGTCATGACCTTGGCCCGTAAGTTTTGACATAAGTGAGTTTATATGCAAGCCTACCCATCCTGTGAAGTTGGTGTATGTGCTTTTCTTAGTTCTTTAGATCTTGGATGGTCAAGTCGCCCTCAATCCCCACCCCCAGCCGAGCGTGTAGTGTTCAACCGGTCATCCGGGCTCGCGCTGGCGCGTCATCTCTATGCATGCTGTGCAAGATGTTGTGAACGCTGCTCTGGACCATGCACGACTGAGTGAAGATGTGCGCCCGCACCACACAGACCCTGTAGTTGCTGCGAGCTATAGCTGGAACTATCGGCTCCTCACGAATGCCTGCGAACCACGGGTCGTCGCTGATCCTGCGCCCTCTGCAGGCGCGAGCTTTACTACGCCATTCAATATCCGAAGGCCGCCAGCAGATGTCGTTCTTTGGCACGTTTGCAGACACTAGCCACGCGCAGCTGGCTGTAAAGCTCCTGTGCGACTCCCCATCATCGGTGTCTACTGGTCACGGATGCATTTCGCCGTATTTATGGGCCGGGCGACACCTGTCTCCACACGAAATAAGGTTTTAACTGGCTGCTTTACCTTTATGAAACGTGCCCTTCCCGGTTTAGAGGCGAGTAGGCTTTCAGAATAATGGGTGCCTACGGTGTACTTTGCTGGGCAAGCCGTTTCATTTAATGGCCCTTTTCGACACCGAAATCGCGTGTCGTGTACCGCATTGCAAATAAAATGGTGTCGGGCGAGAAATAGGAAAATTTAGTGCCACGCCTAAGAAGAAGCAGAAACAACCTCGCCCCCGACAGGCCCATAACACTTGAAGTCGTTTGGTCGTTAGTCGCCGTTTCCTTGAAGACTTACAGATTCAGATTTTTAAAACATTTCGGAACATATCCGAAATTGTAGGTAATATAACGACTGTAATGACATCCAAACAAGTCGCTCTAATTCACACTTCCTCGTGAGCCAGTAAATAGTATGGAGGCAAAATGTCAGTCTGCATCATTTGGACGCAAATATTCAGACCTACCTTCAGAAATACGCTAAACATTTTAAACATTTTACGCAGTCGGTCTCCGTGCAACGGCTTACCGCCCAATCCCCGAGGTCAAAGTAGAGCTGAGAGCGGTTCTGTCTTCACCGTTTCGGCCGGGCGATGTCAACATTCCACTTCTCTGTCCACTTCGGTCCAGATGAGTGTTCAACTAGGATCGACACTCCAGGAACTTCGTGGCAAGAGCTCGCAAGAACGACTGTGAAGAACTTCGAAAAAGACACACTGCATACTCGTGAAGCAGTGTGGAGAGAAAGGGAATTTTGACACAGTTGGACGCTCCACAGGGTGGATGTGAGGCTTAGAGTACATGCGCTTTCCTAAATGTGTAGTTTGCACATGTCTGCCTTATTTCACAAAGGCTCCCAATAGTTCATGCGTCGTGTTTTAGGGGGTTACGCATACAGCAAGCGCGTACGTCAATGACATAACCGACAATCCTAAAGTAAACCAAATACGGAACGGAATCGAAACAGAATTTGATTTGAATTTGCAAATGAAACGGAAAACACCAAATTTAAAGTTCAGGACCTGAGCTCTATCCAAAACGCTATGAGATATGGTTGCGCATGTCAATAACAGATATTTGATGAAAAGGTAACCGCAAGGCTGGTAAATATTGGTAAGTGCATAAATTTGCCTTATTTCCTCCAAATACTGGTGGTTTGTTATTTTTCATAACAGGATGCAGCAACTTTATCAATTGATAGCTCCGTCCATTGACAAGATAATTACTGAGAGACAAACGCATCTCGCAGTCATTAACATGCAAATCAATATAATATAAAAACAATGTTTTGTTTCTGTGTGACCGGATGAAGTTAAATCCTACATACCCCACATTTTCACACTTGGCCATTGGACTGTGTTTTACCACTTTTCATGGTCTTAAAGTTCAGAGACGTTTTCAAATAATGCACGCATATCATTGGTCGTTCACTCTGATTTTGTTCTCACGCTGATGTGGAAACACCAGCGTGAGAACCCAGCCCAGCACGCATTGGGATGAGTGCACGGACAACAGATCAAAATGGGATTTCAAAGCCTGAGGCGCGTGAGACAGAAAATGCTCCGTGTCTGTGTCGACTCTCCCAATAAAAGCAGCCAAGACCTCTGATCGTTCAAGCTCCCACATCGTAACTCCCGTTGGGTGTTACGATCCAATTTCAGCCTCAGAACGATGCGTCTGTTACAGTGGGGACTCATCGGTGGGTGACGCCCGCGGCATATCGAATCAGGTCATTAAAAGGCCAGGTCATGCATGTGAACAGTCAAACCTCCTGTGCATGTGTATATCAAGTTCCCCCAAGGCCGCAAGAATCATATAATGAGAAGAAGTACATCATCGTTCTGAAAACCTGAGCATCGTTCCACAGCAACACAGAGGATGCTAAGGAGCAGACAAAAGGCACTAAACGTCGGCTATGTGACACAGGCTGTGTTAAACGAGGTTATTGAGGGTTAAGACACGTTCCTGTGATATTTTCTTTTGGCGTAGTTGACCCAGCTTGACCTCGAATGACCAGTTTTACTTGCATTTATAATTCGCGTCACCACACTAGGTGTGATATAATTCTGATTACAAAGTGGCAAAGTGGCTATAATTTATCAGCAAATTTTAAATGTGGTGGAAGCGGGTGAGCTTAGTCATACGGTGATACCACTCAAG